TTGGCGGTCTGGTCCCACTGATAAAACACTGCAATCTACTTTCAGGCCTCCGACGAAGACGATTTTGTCGAAACGTAAGGCCAATAAACATTCCACCGTACAAACCTGGCATTGGCGTAACATCATCTGACAATATTACTAAGCGTTCAATTAATCTTGGTCCGGACGGGCGGCAGAAATCGGCGTTTTCTCTGAAGGAAGTGGGGCCTCATTTTGAAAGTTTCATTCTCTTTTCCGCTCAAATCCCATATGTAACCACGAAAAAACTCACCCTTTGGGATATTGCTGGCAATCTAATTTTGTTTTTCTAGCGATAAATCGAGCATTCGATCAAATTTTTCGAGGGAGTTATAGTTCGTGAGCATCCGGAGTCAAGGTTTTGTGTAATGAGCCTCATCACGTAACTTTCCATACCCTTTTTCCTAAAAGGTCAGAGAAATCCGCGAATAAATCGTTTTTTTCGAATATTGCTGAACATCTAGCGGCAAACTGAGCCTTCAGTCAGGTTTTTAGGGGAGCTAGAGCTCGCAAGCATTCAAAGTTGATTTTGGTTCCAAGTGAAAAACGATATCTGTGAAATAGAGTGTCGTTTTGAAATCCTCATCCCCTATTCCCTCAAAGCTCATAGAAATTTGCAAAAAACTTGTTTTTTCAAATATTCCTGAAACTAGCGGCAAAGTGAGCCTTCAGTGAGGTTTTGAGGGGAGATAGGGCAGCAATCAGCTGATTTTGGTCCATTGGGCCGGCGGGAAATGATATTTGTGGATTGAAGTTTCGTTTTAAAGTTTTCATCCCTTTTTTGCTGAAGGATTTAGCGAAATTCCAAAAAAGCTCATTTTTTCAAATATTCCTGAAACTAGCGGCAAGTGAGCCTTCAGTGAGGTTTTGAGGGGAGATAGGGTAGCATTTTACTGATTTTGATCCCGAGGGCCGGCGGAAAATGATATTTGTGGATTGAATTTTCGTTTTAAAGTTTTCATTCCTTTTTTGCTGAAGGGTTTAGCGAAATTCCAAAAAAGCTCGTTTTTTCGAGCACTTCTGAATATAGCGGCAAACTGAGCCTTTAGTGAGGTTTTGAGTGGAGATAGGGCAGCAATCAGCTGATTTTGGTCCCTTGGGCCGGTGGAAAATGATATTTTGGAGTGGAAATTCGTTTTAAAGGTTTCATCCCTTTTTTGCTGAAGGGTTCAACGAATTCCAAGAAAGCTCGTTTTTTTCGAATATTGCTGAACCTTTCCAGTGGCAAACTGAGCCTTCTGTCAGGTTTTGAGGGGAGATAGGGTAGTATTCAGCTGATTTTGGTCCCGAGGGCCGGCGGGAAATGATATTTGTGGATAGAAGTTTCGTTCTAAAGTTTTCTTCCCTTTTTTGCTGAATGGTCAGATAATTCATTATTCAGGGAAATTCATAAAATGCTCATTTTTTCGAACATTTCTGAACCTAGCGGCAAACTGAGCCTTCAGCCAGGTTTT